AAGTTCTAATGACAACCAAAGCAAAATATGTATATATATATATATATATATATATATATATATATATATATATATATATATACATATGTATATATATATATATATATGTATATATATACATATATATATATGTATATATATACATATATATGCATATATATGTATATATATGTATATATATATATATATATATATATATATATATGATTGAGATAGTACATTTTCAGTTTAACTTAAGGTTTTAGGTAAAAGGCCTCTCTGAGACCTACAAAGGAGAAGAGAAGGCTTTTCTCCACATATATAGGAGAGATGAGTATATCTAGCCTAAATCTCTCAATTTACAGATGAAGAAACTGAGGCAGAGAGAATTTAGGTGATTTGCTGAAAGACATACAGGCAGTAAGCCTCAGAGGTAGATTTGAATAATGTGTCTACAGTCTGTCACCCCACCATGCTGTCTCTATTAATCACTCAAATTTTTTAAAAGATTTTTTTAAGAGAATAGGTGATGCTGGCTGGGTGGTCAAAGCTTTTTTCCCCTCTTCTGAAATTCTTGGTCTATAATTGATTGAGTAATAATCAATCAGTTAGTTGATCTAAAAACATTGTTTGCATTATATTCTTTATACTCTTCCATTTCTGTTGCCCTGACATGTGTCAGTTCTATCTCCCACTTCTGCCCCATAGGCCAAGACAAGAAAGGGCCTTCACACAAATCTGTGCTCTAGGTGAGAGGAACCCAATACTCAAACCAAAATAGAAAGCAGATTTTTCTTGATCTTAGATAACTTTACTTCTTTTATTTCTATCTCAGTTTCCTCATTTGTAAAAGCCTTATGAGGAAGACAATGATAAAGCTAGGAGTAATTACCATGACTATTTGATGACAAACTACCCCATCCACCAGACAACTGCATGCAGGGGATATAACGCCCAGTAGTCTATTGCCAAGCCATGCCACCTATCTATCCTGTGGCTCTCACTGAGCTCCTTCTCTTGGCCCACAAGTTCAGCAAGCCTTAGTTATCATTTGCCAGGTATCTTGTAGGTTCTTTTCCACCAGCTTCCCCTCTTCCAATCTATCCTAGCCACAAGAATGACCTTTCTCAAGACATTATTCAACTATCTTATTCCCCTTCTTAGAACTCACAATGCCTCAGGAGTGTCTTTTTCATGGTCAAAACTCCTACACATGAGATACGAAGACCTTTGCTCCCCTCACTTTCATCCTCCTGTCTTTATTCCTTTAATGTTTATAGGGGGGAGTGAGTAGCCGTGAATTCATTAGTATGGGGAAATTCAGTTGAGAAAACACCTCCCTCATAATGCGCATTGGTAACTATTATGTAATTTACAGCCTTAAAGAGTAGTGTGGGGCCACTGGGAGGTTAAGTAATTTGCCCAGGTTCACTCAGCCAACATGTTAGAGACAGAACGTTTACCTAGGTCCTTCTATTGAATATACCACAGCTTTCTCTCCATCCATTACAAGCATTGTAACATCATCCATTAAAACTATGAAAATGTACATACTATCCCTTCATATAACTTCCTTTTTTTTACCTCTAAGTCACCACACATAGCTCCTGGAATGGCCTGCCCATTCTCTTCTGCCAAACCACATCCTTCCCCTCTTTCTAAACCCCATTCAAGACTTACACTCCATGAAGCCATTTTCAGACTGGCTCTAAAAGATCCTTTCTAGACCACCACCACTACTACCACTTCCCCCCTCTTCCCCTTTATCCCATACACTCCCACACACATTTTAAAAATCTGATTTGGAACACAACCCATGACTGTCAGCAGATGCTCCACTGGGACTCTAAGAACATCAATCCATTTCATAGCTGGAGACAGAGTGCTTTCTCTGGGAAACATTTTTCACATAAAGCAGAAAGTGTTTTGTCCTCACCAGAGCAGATAAATTACAGGTTGAGGTTGGGGGGCGGGGATTAGGATGAAGTATGTTATTTCTCATTCCTCTAACCTTCCTTATCTGCTTCCCCCTCCCTGCCCTATTTCATAAGACCACAAGAGCAGTTGACAATGACAATGGGCACTGGCAGTTGTAGCCAAGAAGGGGACCTGGCCCTGCCATAGCAATCTGGAAGTTTTGAGTCCTTAGGGAGCTGAGCTAGAGCAGCTGCCTACCTGATTCTTCTGTCTTAAATCAAAGGTGTTCAAACCCCAAATCTAAAACTTTAAAAAATACTTTGAAATAATAACGTCACAGAATCACTGAATAATAGAATCTGAGAGTTGGAAGGGATCTCATAAGCCATCTAGACCAACCTGGACCCCAAAAGAATGCCCCTTATAATATACCCGATAAGTGATCATCCAGCCTTTCCTTAAAGACATCCAATGAAAGGGAACCTCACCACCTCTTAAGGAAAGTCATTCCACTTTAGTTCAGCTCAATTGCTAGGAAGTTGTTGTTTTTTTCTCCTTCTGACATCAAGCTTAAGTTTTCTTCTTTTCAGCTTCCCTCCATTGCTCCTGGCTCAGGCCTCTGAAGCCAAACAGAATCCCCATTCCACATGAGAGCCCTTCAGACACTTAAAGGCAACTGTCTTGTCTCCATTGAGTCTTCTCTGCAGGCTAAACACTCCCAGTTCTTTCAACTGCTGGTCTTTATACAGGGCCTGGCACAGAGTAAGAGCTCAAACTAACTGCCTGATTGATTGGACTCAAGACCCTCCATCATCATGGTGGCCCTTTTCTGGACACTCTCGTGTTTGTCAACTTTCTTCTTAAACTGTGGTGCTTAGAACTGCACATAGAACTCTAGATGAGATTTGATGAGGGCAGAGTACTGTGGGACTATCAATAGCCTATTCCAGGAAGCTGTGCTCCTTTTGATGCAGCCTGAAATCATATTCTTCTTTGTTGTATTTTTGGCAGTCACATCACACTTGTTGATTCCTACTGAGTTTTCAGTTTGCTGAAAAAAATACCCTGACCTTTCTCAGAACAAGTGTTGTCAATGAGTAGAGTCAAAGAAAATAATATAGATAATGACTACAGCAATGTAAAAGGAAAATTAAAAACCCACCACAAAACAAACAAAAATTAACGTTGCAAAAATTACTAAGAACAACATGACTCCGTGGCATCTAGAAGCAGTTTACCCAAAGGGAGACACCCAATCTAGGAGTTCTAGAGTTCACCAGTTGAGAAAGTTTGAGGCACATTTGAAGGAGCAAGAGACACACATAAGGACAGACATGCCAGACAAACATCAATTCAGAAAGGCAGTCATTCAAGAGACAGGGAAGCTTTGGAGAAAGAACTGGCTTGCAATTGAGAGTTTAGTTGTGGAAAGGAATAGATTATGGGAACCCAGTGGAGCAAATTGCCTTGCAGACACACTACATCTAAGGGGAACTGCATGAGGACCCTAGAGTGACAGAAAAGACTTCTAGGCCTTGAAGTACCGGGAGTTGTGAGCTGCTTTGCCACATGTTTATTTTACTTGTGTGCCTCATTATCACTTTAGTTTGAACCTGCTCTTTTCATGGACACTTTGGGAGGAAAAAGACACTCTAGGACTATGAGGGGAATGTTTTATAGATATTGCTTTCACTATACCATCTTAGTAGATGACTTTGCTAAAAGCTGATTGAGTCTACTGGCTGATTGTTAATAGTAAACACACTGGTGAAGGCTTTTGAGCTATAGAATTGGGAGCATAGGCCAACAGAGTACCATAGAACCTGGTATCCTGGGGACCAACCTGAAAACCTATAAGTACTATCTTGGAGAAGAAGCCCCAAATATGTTATGCAATGCTCTGGGCATGTACATAACAAATGAGGAAGTAAAGAACAAATTTTAGTCCTTCTATAGTTATCTGCATCAATATAGATTTATACAGTTATAGTTATCAAACGTCTTGGGATGTATAAAAGAGAGTACATAAGCCTTTTGCATCATTACTAAAGAATAGACTCTGTGCCCCCAGACTAAGTCAATCTCTGGTAGTTATCTGATTAGAAAGCCATAATAACTGCCTTAAGTGTTATATTTATGAATGCATGTCAGCTTTTGCAATTTCATTACTTCTTCTCAGCATGCAATAAAAAGAAAAGACATTTACCACTTCATAGAACCATTAACTTGAGGGTTGGAAACATTTACGAGCCAACAAAGTGACACAGTGGATAGAGTGCTGGCCCTAAAGTCAGGAAGACTCTTCTTTCTGAATTCAAATCTGGTCTCAGACACTTATAAGCTCTGTGACCCTGGACAAGTTGCTTCACCCTATTTGACTCAGTTTCCTCATCTGTAAAATGAGCTGGAGAAGGAAATGGCAAATCACTCCAGTATCTTTGCCAAGAAAACTCCAAATGGGGTCACAAAGAGCCAGACACAACTGAAACAACTGAACGGCAACAGCCACAAAAAACCATTCATCATGCCAGCTCTCAAGAAATGAAAGTACTAGTCTCCAGTACAGTAGGATTGCCAGCATAATTAAAAAAGCAATGGCCACAAAGTTAAACGGCCTCTGTTTGAGTCACAGCTCAGCCACTAACTATCCCTATCACCATCAACTTCTGTCCCTTAATCTCTCTGACCTTTAGTTTCTCTGTGTAATGGGAACAATACTTCCTCACTACCTTCCTTGTAGGACTGTTTTAAGGAAAGCACTTTGTAAAGTATAAAGTGCTATATATGTAAATGCCATTATTGTTATTAGAGAAATAATGGGGGCAGCTAGGTGGTGCAGTAGACAGAGCATCGGCCCTGGAGTTAGGAGAACCTGAATTCAAATCCAGCTTCAGACACATGATACTTACTAGCTGTGTGACCCTGGGCAAGTCACTTAACCCCAATTGTCTTGCAAAAGAAAAAAAAGAGAGGAATGATGGTGTTAGTGACACAAAATTATCCAAGTGAGCTGATGAATCCAGTAGGGCGATTGTAGTGCATATAAGTCTTGATCTGAGGTTCAGGAAGAGGAAGCATGGTCTACCATTGTCTCTTGGCCTTACCTAGTCTGGTTGGCAGTTTCAGCTCAAAGGGAAGCATCAAAAGTATCCTTGAACTCTCGAAGGCATCTTTCACATTGTCCAATGGGGGCTGTGTCCCATGAGGCACAGAGTGACTCTGCATGCAATCTATACCACCAAGGGAGATATGATGGAACAGAGGCCAGCTTAGCTACAGCTTTGAGAAGACAGCATTATCGTTATCACTACTGATGTATATAAATACACACCCACACCCATATAATATATATATATACATACATACATATACACACATATACATGTATATACATATATACTTTATGTGTGTGTGTATATATATATATATATATATATATATATATATATATATATATATATATATATATATATATATATATATATATATATATATATATATATATATATATCTCACCATTGAGTTTATAAAATGACTTATGTATGTTATCTCCAGACTCACAACAGCCCTTTGAACCATAGATTTCTGGTATTAACCCCGCCCCACCCCCACCATAGCCACACAAAAGTGGCATGGTAAGGGAGAGAGCATTGGCTAGGAAAGTAGGAAAACATAGGGCCAGCTTTGGAATCCAGCTCTGCTATGCACTAGCTACACAATCTTGGCCAGGTCACCACCATTCTGGTTTCCAATCTATAAAATGAGGCCTTTGAACTTGATACTTTCTTCCAGCTCTAAACCTTGTGATCCTATCAGCCTCTTGGGGTAGAAATCTCAAAACAATTTACAGGTCAGTCAGGGTCTCTCCCTTCCCAGTGGAATAATCTAGGGGACTCATTGGGCTCCCGGTAGGTAGCCTTGTGATGCTCTCCCGGAATCAGCTTCCTAAAAACTTTCATATGCTCCCAGGAGAATGGCTAGGTCTGTGGAGCTCTTATCCGAATATTTTCACAGTACTAAGGCCTCTAGAGTCCCTCCACCTGACTGCCCCACCATGGATAGCTTGTAGACTAGTGGGCTGAGATAAGAGCTCATTTGAATGTGAATCAGTATTGTTGAATTTCTGCCTCCTTGGGTATGAGTGGACAATTAATAGGACCAAAGGGAAAAAGTCCTTCTGGCTAAATAGGGCATAGATCCAAGAGCATCCAACAGGATACTGTGTTAGGTCAAGCCAGAGTAAGGGTAGGGGAGAAGTAGAAAGGAGAAGAATAACCTAGAGCCTATGAGCTTCTCTGAGATACATACTCCTGGCTTGCGGCAGGTTGTCTCCTCTGAACACCAGGTATACCCACTCATCTTGCCTACCATTCTCTTCCTTCCCAAACTTCCCAGAATAGTCCTTGCTTACACCCTCTATTTGATTCAGACAATTGGCCAGTCCTTACCATCACCCTGCCTGAGACATCAGAGACCTGGAGCCCACCAGACTAAGCTGAAGGAGAACAAAGCCTTTCCTTTAAAATCCTTCACTGCCTCAGGGAACTCCCCAGGTATGAAAGTGATTCAGACCCCAGGAATCCTTCAAAGCTGGGGCTCTGAGGGCAGCCTCTCCCAAGAGGATCACCAACACCAATACCCCTACTTCGGCCTACTCTTAGAGGCAGCTGGTCAATAGTCAATAGTCATTTACTGAGTGCCTACTGTATGCCAGGAATTGTGCTAAGTGCTGGAGAAACAAATGTGGAAAAGACAGCCCCTGTCTTCAAGAGGCTTCTATTTTAATGATGGAAGATAACACACAAAAGAAAGCTGAAAAGGTGGTGGGGCATGAAGGCATGCTGTACAGGGGCATGGTGGAAAAGCCAAAGAAATCCAAAATGAGTACAGTTGGGTAGGAAATGAGGAGAGGTCAGTCCTGTTCCCCTCCTTAAGTGGAGAAGCTTGTGGCTCCACCCTCCACTCTGAGGGGCAGAGGGTACAACTAGGTGTGAGTAACCAGGACAATTGGATCTTTTAAAAAAAATTAATAGCATTTTCTTTTTCTACCCAATTACATGTCAAGACAATTTTTACAAGATTTTTAAGTTCCTAATTTTTCTGCTCCCTCCCCTCTCCTCTTCCAAAAATGATAGGCAATTCGATATAGGTTTATACATGTGCTATCATGTAAAACATTTTCATATTAGTCACATTTGTGAAATAAGAAGTAGATCAAAAGGGAAAAACCATGAAAAAGAATAAAATAAGTGAAAAAAGTATGCATCGATCTGCATTCAAAATCCATCAGTTCTTTATCTGGATGTGGATAGCATTTTCCTCTGTGAATCCTTTGTGCTTGTCTTGCTTGGATCATTGTGTTGCTAAGAAGAGCTGAGTCATTATAGGCAATCATCACACAATGTTGCTGATACTGTGTACAATGTTCTCCTGGTTCTGCTCATTTCAGTCCATACAAGTCTTTCCAGGTTTTTCTGAAGTCAGCCTGCTCATCATTTCTTATAATACAATAGTATTCCATTACATTCATATACCACAGCTTGTTCAGCCATTACCAAATTGATGGGCATACATACCCTCAATTTCTGATATTTAGGCCAATTGGATCTTGTGAGATATTGAGATTTCTCCTAACATCTAGGATACGGTTCAGACCATTCCAGGCTTTTCCCTCCTAATCTATCAAAAACCCTTTAAATGGTTTGGCAAGTTTACAAGCATCTTTACTTTTACTTCAGAAGCTAGGCCTTCATTATTAAGACTAATTACTTAGGAAAGTAATTCCAGTATTCATTTCTTCTGCTTTTTGAAGAGCGCAATTATTACCAAGTCAGCAATTTACTAGTTGCTCTGGACATACCCTGTATCATGCTTAGACACCAAGCTAGTAAATTGCTTCCAGAACTCATCTAGTTCAGGGGTGGGGAATCTGTAGCCTCAAGGCCACATGTGGCCCTCTAGGTCCTCAAGTGTGTCTCTTTGACTGAATTCAAATTTCATGGAACAAATCCCCTTAATAAAAGGATTTGTTCTGTAAAACTTGGACTCAGTCAAAAGGCCACACCCAAGGATCCAGAAGGCCACATGTGGCCTCTTACCATTGCTTCACACTCTGGTTTAAGGATCTCCTCATGGGAGTATGTGTTCATAATATACTAAACTAATCCACCACAGCTTTCATCTATTATGTTCATTTTGAATAAGGTACACCCTTACTGGCATATTCCAGGCATGAATCATATGCCACAAAGTTTCAATTATAGCTATGAAATTGAACTTATTTAATTTTATTTCAAGAGATACTTAGGAAGCAACTAGAATGTACAGGGCACCATGTTAAGTAATTGTGGTAGATCTCCAAGTCACTTTTTTATTTGTAGTATTGTTCATTTGGGAATAGACACTATAGGAAGAAAACAACCATTTATTTATAGTTTACCAGGTGCCAGGCACGGTGCTAGGTGTTTCACATATGTTATCTCTTTTGATCCTCACAAAAACCCTGGGGGGGGGGTAGGTACTAGTATTAACCCCACTTTACAGCTGAGGAAACTAAGGCAGATAGAGGTTGTATGACCAAAGGTCATAGAGCTAATGGATGCCTAAGACTGGACTTGAACTCAGGTCTTCCTGACTTCAAGTCCAGTGCTCTATCTCCTTGGCTACCCCCAGCAGATACTAAAGATTTCCTCAAGGCTTGGTATTCTTCCTTCTTTCTTCGTGGATATCATCTTTGGAAATTACCAGGTCTTTCCAATAATTTCTTCTTCTTATTCTAAACCTGCTACTCTCTATAGTATTCAGTCTAATGGATATATGAAGGAAGTTCACTGGTGTGGTTTTTTTTACTTGTCCCCACCATTTTCAGTTTGCATATCTCTTCATTTACAAATCTTCAGCCAAATACATATTTTTCCCCGGCCCTCATTATGGGCACTCCATCCCTGGCCTACAGCTTGTTTTTTCTACATCTTAACCCACAGTCCATAGAGCCAAATCTCCAAACCCAAGATGCCAAGATGGATTAGCACCTTTTGGCCCTGTGATACAGGTCAGCACTCTCCTTCCTTTCTCCCCTACCTTCCATTGTCAAATTTTAAATCAATACCCTACCTTCACCATGAATCTCAGCATCTGGATCATTTCAATCACCCTGGATATGGCCGAAGTTGCCAATTATCCAAAAGTTAAAGAAAGGGCTAGATTCAGAATTAGACTTTAAAGTCAAATGCTCACCAGGTTCAATATTAGGCATCTTTGGTTGCCCCAACCTCTTTACAAATGGAGGAACCGAGGCCCTTAACAGATGTAAAAGTGGCTTTCTCAAGTTTTCATTGGACTATAAAACTCACAGTCTCTGGATTCCCAGGTTGTTGTTAAGCCATGCCACCTCACTGCCTAATGTAGCACACACCCTGTAATCCCATGGGTAATTTTTAAAAGCTTGAGTCTGGTTTTTTTGTAAACATGAGAAACTGACAGTTCCTCCAGAGTTTACCTCAGTAAGCAACAGAGGGGAGAGGAAGAGTTTAGGAAGAAAGACCATCAAGGACATTCTCAGAAGAAATGTTATTTCTACCTAAGAAACATGGAAGATATAGAAGCATAATGATTTTGTCCCAGCAGGAAACAAGCACGGGATCCCAAAGTGTCTGTCTCCAAATTCCTACCTTGCCAGAAAGTCTTATTTTGGGAAGTTAGGATCCTGGTTTCCCAAGTGGTGGGTCATGTGGGATCCATCACTCCTGGGTTCCTGTGCTCTGTACAAAAATGGCTACAAGTCAGCATCCTTCATCAGTTCAAGTCAATTCAAGTTATTAAGTGCTTACGATGTGCAAAGCACTGCTCTACATAAAAAGACGTAAATGAAATTGTCCCTGCCCTCAAGGGGATGACATTCTACCCAACAACCTGTCTACACTGTTGGCTTCATTTTGTATGTGGTTGATCATTTAGGTTCTCTGATTTTGTCCCCTGGCCTCTTGGATCCAAATATGTGACTCCTCTGTTCTTACTCTTGGCATCCTATTCCCATCTATTTGGCTCATTTTGAGTCCTTCATTCTGTCTGCTTCCATAGAGTTGGCATTCTCCTACTCTCTACTACTCATCTAAGCTTCCCCATTGAAGTGCTTAGCATCAGGACTTCCAAGTGGCACCAGCCTCGACTGGGCCTATTAGCTATTACACCCTCAGGTCCCACTAAACCCTGTCAGGACTCCAATTTGGAC